GATGCTCAACTCTTCGATCGCCAGTTTCAACATGCCACAACAAAAAACAGTAATGACCTCCTCAGAAGACAGATAGGGTACGGTACCCTTTGTTGTCCAATACTTCCTGGGAGTGGAGAAACTACGCCATGTTCTTCACAGCCTTCAGCACATCAATGACAATGAACACCTCATCAAGATCTTCCCCACGCCTCCACTTCTCACCTTCAAACAACCACCAAATCTTAAACAGGCCATTGTTTACAGCAAACTACCCAGCCTTCAGGACAACATCGACCACAACACCACACAATCCTGTGATGGTAACCTCTGCAAGACATGTTGGATCATCGACATGGACACGACCATCACACATGGAAACACTACCCACCAACATGGACACTACCATCATACACAGGGGAACACCACCTACCGACATGGACACTACCATCATACACAGGGGAACACCACCCACCGACATGGACACTACCATCACACACGGGGCAACACCACCCACCGACATGGACACTACCATCACGTACAGGGGAACACCACCCACCAACGCGGACACTACCATCACGCACGGGGGAACACTACCCACCGACATGAACACCATCACACACGGGAACACTACCCACCGACATGGACACTACCATCATACACGAGGGAACACCACCCACCGACATGGACACTACCATCACACACGGGGGAACACCACCCACCGCATACATAGTAGGTACTCATGTGATTCGGCTAACGTTGTCTATCTCATACGCTGCAGGCAAGGATGCCCCGAGGCATGGTATTTTGGCGAAACAATGCAGACGCCATGACAACAGACGAATGGACAATGTGCAACAATCACCAAACAGGGATGTTCCCTCCCAGTCGGGGAACACTTCAGCGGTGAAGGACATTCGGCCTCTGATCTTCAGGTAAACATCTTCCAAGGCGGACTTCGGGATACACAACAACGCAGGATTGCAAGCAGAGACTGAGAGCCAAGTTTGATGCCCATGAGAAAGGCCTCAATTGGGATCTTGGGTTCATGTCACATTACAAGTAACCCACCATACTATACACTGTTTCTCTCCCATACACACACTCACTCTCTCTCTCGCTCCCCCCCCAACACACACACGCACTCCCTTCACACACACTTTTCTAACCAATTCACACACACACACTCTCCCCCTTCTCTTTCTCTCTCTCACACACACACACCCTTCCTCCCCCCCACTCTCTCGCACACTCTCTCTCTCACCCCCTCACTCACACACACACACACACACACACACACACACATCCTTTCTCCCTCCTCACTCTGATGCACACTCTCTCACCCCCTCTCTCTCACGCACACACACACACGAGTCTGTGGGGTGAATTTGTATTTGCAGACACATTGTATTTTGTTTGAAAAGCACACAACTTATAGACAGTCAATATGGTGTTTTATAAATTCCCACTTTAGAAATACAACCAGTCTGACTCCAAACTAAAACACAAACAGATTCTAAACAAGGCCTCACAGCTAACATGCATTGTCTGACCTAAAATGCCACCTCTTCTTTACACTGATATAACCTTTAGTTCTCTCAGGACCGTGACTTGAAAGGAATTTGGGAATTTACATATTAATCAATCAAAACCTTCTAAATGATTAAAGATTTAACAGCATCTTAGGATTGTTTAGTACATCCTCATCAATGGTATGAACCTTTGATCTTTGACTTATAAATTCTGTGTCTGATACTACCTCTCTCACTAACACCTGAAGAAGGAGTGAGGCCCTGAAAGCTTGTGTTGTGGAATAAACCTGTTGGACTATAACTTGGTGTTGTGTGATTTCTGACCTTCAATCATCAAAATACTCCTGTTGACAATGTTTCTGCATTAGTGCTGGGTCATATTCACTGCGACATGGAAGGAGGCTTTTTTCAGCCTGTCACATTCGTACTGGCTCTTTGTGGAGTGACTAAATCAGTACCATTCCCCAGCTATATTCCAATAACCCCTGTCTGTTTATTTCCCCTCTAGGGCCCATCCAATTCATGCAGTATGGCAATAAAAGGTGCAAGACTCTAAAGGTGCATTCAGTGAGATTGGTATCATTTTATCAACCAATTCCGCACTAAAAGTTGGTTTAAGACGACACACTGTTGCAATAGACTCATTGACTAAGTATTTGAAGCAAATACGAACTAAGTTATTTAATAAAACCACAACGAAATGGATTCAAAAATGGTGATTTGGAACTGAAAGCACTTTCCACCCACACAACATTGCAGTTTCAAGCAGCGGTATTTTTGTTTCTTTTTGTCTTTTAAAATAGTTTCTGAATAAGCAATCTGTAGTCACTAAAGGTTATGTACCTTAAAATATCGAGAAAATAAATGCACATGATTCCTGCAACAAAAACTACACTGAGTCACAAGCTTTGTCTGACAATCACCCAGTTGCCAACTTAAAACTGAAATTACGAATAGTCATAGGTAAAAATGGATAATACATTTGCTCAAAAAGATGTGGCAACCCAATTTCAAGTACAGGTAGTTCTGCTATAATACTGTTTCGTTAACGCGAATTGGCTGTAATGTGATTGATGAATAGTGGATGCTGTTTGGATAACATGAACTTTCTGCTGTACCGGTACAGCGATTTTCTATAGCAATTTCCCTATAATGTGATTTTTTTTTGGCGCAAGGTCACACAAGAATGCAACTATGGCGTTTATAGGAGAACTACCTGTAAGTAATGCAAGGATGGCTGACTGTTCTAAATAAACAATGTGATTTGGAAACAAGTTTTACTGAGAGGGGTTCACGAGATCCACAGCGCACCTCTTGACATCAGCAGGATTATAAACATGCCCCGAGGTGATCCCTTTTATAATAACCTTCCCATTGAAAGACAGTGATCTTAAGGGTCCCTTCTCTCTTGTCTGCTTTACTGATGATTGAAATTGGATAGTGAAAACCAGCCCGTTGAATAGTATGTTAGACCAGAATATCAAAAATATATATAGACATACGCTATATCTACATATATGTATGGGCAGTATTACTTGCATTTAAACTTATAGTCTTAGAGTCATACAGCACAAAAACAAACCCTTTAGTCCAACTCGTCTACACCAACCAGACATTCCAATCTGACCTAGCCCCATTTGGCAGCATTTGGCCCACATCCCTCTAAACCCTTTCTATTCATATACCCGTCCGGATGCCTTTTAAATGTTATAATTGTATCTGCCTTCACTACTTCCTCTGGTAGCTCATTCCATACATGCACCACGCTCTGCGTGAAAAAGTTACCCCTCTGGTCTTTTTTAAATTTTTCCCCTCTCACCTTAAACCTATGCCCTCTAGTTTTGGACTCCCCTTTGAAAACCTATGTGAACTTGAAGATGTTTGCTAACATTGCACAGAAAAGCATACTGGCGAAAATGCAATTGCATGTAATTCATAATAGCCTTACACTTGGTTTGGAAAGTCGTTAAGGGGTAGGAAACCAAGTGCAGTTGGCGTAGGTACTCCAGAAAATGACAAGTGATGTTATTCAGACCTCTGCATTCTTCAAACATCCTCAACTTTTCACTGTTTATTAGTGATGTGTGAAAGAAATGCAGTATATCTAAATTTGTAGCTAGCACTAAACTAGGAGGCATTGTATGTAAGGCAGATGGGAGTAGAAGGGACAATGAAACAGAACACAGGTTATGTAAGTAAACACAACAATGGCAAATTGGCTGCGATGTAAGTAAGCCTGAGGTCAAACACTTAGAGGTCCAAGAAAGGTAGTATTTTCTATGCCGTAAGACACTGAGAAGTGTAGGAACAAAGAGACTTGGCAGTTTAAGGACAAAATTGATCAAAAGCCAATATACTAAATTCAGTAAACTAATGAAGACAACAAATGGATTTTTGGTCTTTATTTCTAAGGGTGGTGCAGTCGAGGAAGAGGTGAAATATAATGGGGACAGTAACTTATGATTGAGTTGAAGCGAACCCTAAGGCGTTTTTGAGCAGACTTCTAAACTGTTATCTTTTGGGGCAAAATCACTGTAGTTCATGCTTGTGTTTTTCTTGTTTTGTCCATCTTAGAATTTGTTCATTTTTGAACAGCCTATTCAGGCAGGATATAATTGCCTTGGAAGTGGTACACTCAGTCCTTCAGACTCAGTGGGTAGGTGAGGGCATATTGCATGAGGAGTTGTAATTCCTCAAGTATAGCCAACTGAGGAGTAATCTAAACATGACGTTTTAAACAATTTACCAGGGTAGATCTACAGAAACTGTTTATTTTAGTGGGAGTATAAAGATCAAAGCAGCATACTTTTAAAACTAGACATCCCCCCAGGGATGGGTAATAAATACTGACCCAGCCACAGATGCCCATGTCTCACAAGAGAAAAAAAACTGTTCAAGCAGCAGACTGGAAAGTACTTCTTTAAACACAAATTACACCAGAAAGTTGAAACATTCTCAACAAGTGCTGAGAATCTTGGGTCAGTTCGAGCTTTCAAGGCTGGGATCGATCACAGATTTTAGGTAGAGGTATCAAAATATTTGGACCATAGGTGGGAAAACTGACTGGAGACATAGAATCCCTACAGTGCAGAAGCAGGCCATTCACCCCATTGGGTCCAAACCGATCCTCCAAAGAGCATCCCACACCCCTACCCTATCTCTGTAACCCTGCATTTTCCATAGCAATCATGATCTAAACTGGTTCAAGGGACTGGATGACCTGTTTCTCTGATGACTTCTTGTCTCCATCTCGAGTCAGTTGATTGAAAAGATGCTGTAGGTCAGGCACATGGGAAATATTTGTCTTCCAGGTATCTCTGGAGCAGAACACATTTTTGTCCGATATTGAAATAACCTTTACAGTACCTTCCCACTTTATGACGGTTTTGACAGAGATTCAGTTCCATTGGTGCCATATGCCTGCCCACCCATTCCCCACCTCCCTCCGTAATTGGCTGTTTTAAACAAAGTCAGCTAATAAACTACAGGTAGAATTAAAACCAAACCGAAATGGTAAAGGATCTTTGGTTTGATTTTTTAGCACATTTATTGTAAGAAAAAATCTGTACTTCAAAATTACACAAGTTGCAAGACACAAAGTATTTTTGTACATAAAGCCTTGTAGCTATGTACAGCGGTATTGCACAGTTAAAAATTGTCAATTCCCCTTTAGACATCAGTGCAAAGAAATAAAATCAAATTGAAATGGAGGAAAAAGAAATCCAGGGTTGGTAGAAGTGCATAGTTAGAGATGGGATGTGATAAGAGGTGGGGAATTACTTAACATTCGCTAATAATATACTGGGTCCTGTTCAGTGTATGAAAATACTGCAAGAAGTAAAGTGAAATTAAATAACTTCAAGCAAAAATTAACAGCATGGGAACAAAAAGAAAGTCGCAGACAGCATGTGTTATGATTCAGTTTGCCAATGATTTACAGAGCAAAAGGAGGAGAGGAGGAAACAAACTTAAAAAAAACACAAGTTGCTCTACATCTAATAAATATACAGTTCAAAATAACTTACACATGTACACCTCTATTCATCTCAGGGCTGCAGGGGTTGAACATCATTTCTGTTATATAAAAAAAAGGGTGTGTTATGAAAACAATTCAGATTGTATTTGATTGTGTGTTGGGGGAAACGTAAGGCAGCTCTTGATATCTTCTGGCTCAGGTGCCAATAATTGCAGGAAACACTTGTGGACCACAATGAAAGGGTTCAAAATTAATCCACCGCTGAACTGTCCTGCAGGTTTTTACCTGACGAGAGATCCACACCCACTGCCGTCTTCCAGGGAACTTCAGCAAAATGATGGGCTGTAGCAGTGGTTCAGCCAGTGAGCTGATGTCCATTCCATTGTACTTTAATGTCAAAATATACATACAGACAAGGAGAAGAAAAGCTGATTTCTGTCTGAAGTAAAAGCAAGGGTCGAAACTGCTGAAACCTTCAGCCATTTAGTCTGTTATTAAATGGGCTACATTTTTTGCTGGGTTTCCTTTCAGTAGTAAAACTGAAGAGTGAGTTGATCACACACCATTGATCCTTCTCCTGCACAGTATGTCCACCAAGTGCCAAAAATTTCCATTCTGGTTATTTGGTGGTCTGTGATTTCTTGCCTGTAATGAGAGGGAAATAAAGATTTTTACTTAGAAATACAAGATTCTGAGAACAAAACATCCAGACCCTCTCAAAAATATTCAATATTACACAAAATGTGCATCTTGAATGGTGTAGTCACAAAGCCTTTTAGTGTGTTAGTACTTACTGCTGAACTACAACAACACTTTTAAAGTTTAACTTTAGTTCAATGTACTTTAATGGTATAGAATATCTTTCAACACTTCAATTTGCACCTACCACCTGAATCATATTTATAGCTGTGAGAATATCTTGTGGCACAGTGGTAATGTCCCTACCCCTGAGATAAGAGACCCAGTCTCACTTACTCCAGAGTGGGTACATAAAGAATCTTATACACTTGTGGGACATGGGTATTGCTGACTGGGTCAGCATTTATTGTGCACCCCTAGTTGCCCTAGTGAAGGTGGTGGTGATTGGCCTTCTTGAACTGCTGCAGTCCAAATGGCATTAGAGAATTCCAGGATTCTGATGAAGTGACAGTGAAGGAATGGTGATCTATTTCCAAGTCAGGATGGTGATTTCCCATGTATCTGCTGTCCTTGTCCTTCTGGATGGAATTGGTAGTGGGCTTAGAAAGTGCTGATTGAGGATCTTTGGCAAATTTCTGCAATGCATCTTGTAGATAGTATACACGGCTGCTACTAAGCAGTGGTGGTGGAGGAGTGGATGTTAGTGGATATGGTGCCAATCAAGCGGGCTGCTTTGTCCTGGATGGTGTGAAGCTTCTTTAGTGTTGTTGGAACTGCACTTATCCAGGAGAGTGGGGAGTCAGGAGGTGAGTTATTCAATGCATTATTCCTAATCTCTAAACTGCTCTTGTAACCACTGTATTTCTGTTGAGTTCAGTTGAGTTTCTGGTCAATGGTAATCCCTAGGATGTTGACAGTGGGGGATTCACTGATGGAAGCACCATTGAACGTCAAGGGGCAATGGTTAGATTGTCTCTTATTGGAGATGGTCATTGCTTGGCATTTGTGTGGTGCAACTGTTACTTGCTTCTTTTCAGCTCAAGCCTGGATATTTTCTTGTTGCATTTGGATGTGAACTGCTTCAATATTTTAGGTGTTGCAATAATGTGTAATAACATCTCTGAACATGGGGATTAAAACAAAAATCCAACATCTTAGCTCAAAATTTGAAAAGACTGGATTAATTTGCATTCCTGCAGAGCCGTTTGCAACTTCAGTATGCCCCAAAAAGCTTCACAGTCAATCAGTTGAAATGCAATATAGTCCTATTGTTGTGCATCAGTGTTTGGCAACTTATGCACAACAAATAACAAATGAAAGATTTTTTTTTTGGTGATATTAATTGAGGGTTAGAAATAAGGGAAAGCACTGGTACGGTATGTTACTCCCTATCCTTCAAATAATATCATGACACCTTTCTTGTAGGAACTTGATTTAAACATCATCCATAATAAATCTCCATATGAGCCGTCAGTTCAGCAGAGTCAAATAAATGTCCTAAAGTGAGATTTGATATTGTGACTTCTTGAAGGAGATATGAGGGTGCTTCCTACTGACCCAAGCTGACTTTTCTTCAAGTGTATGGGATTAAACGTTTTAACTGTCATATTTTGTATGGAAACTCTAACGAACACTGAATACAAAAGCACATTTTGAAGGAATGGTGCAGGATGTACATGCAGCATACAAATTTTGTTTGAAACTCATTTTGCTTCACTGCTTTGCATACAGCAATCTTATTCGTATGAGAATAAAGTTCAGATGGTGGTGGATGAGCTTCAGCAATGAAAGAGGTATGTCCTCCTCACATCACACTCCATCAAGTCACAATGTCTAGCCCTCTCCAACATGAATATAACTATTTTCATCTCTTCACTTCAGAATACCAATCAAACAATTCTTCCACTGCACTGACTAGATTCTGACAGAATTTCCTTGCAGTAAACCACAAGAACCTCCATGCCAACACTAGGTTATAAACTGGTGACTAAAAACTGTGATTGTGATTTTTTTCTTTAAACGTATGGCCTTAAAATCATAAACCTTATTGGCCAGCTACATAAAAGTTGGTTTATATGTACTGGAGTTTCAAAAGATTTCATTCCAGTTCTCTCAGTCCTGGAAGATCTGAACAAGGTTAAGTGTATCCAACACACATTTGACCCACCAAAACTAGGAAACAATTGAACAGTTGAGTCTTTATGTTCAACTTAATACCAGATGGTTAAAATTAAAAAAAAAAAAAAGAAATTTCAAGCATTGAGAGTAGTCACGGCTTCAATTCTAAATTAGATATGAGGAGAGGCAAGAAGGGAAACTATAAACTTGTTGGTATGTTTCTCCCTTTCTAAAAAAAGGGTTTGTGTATATAGAAAGATTGTGTTTACACTTCAGTGTCAAGTTTCCACCTTAACCTGAAGCCCATGCCAGAGATATAATCCCAGTGTTAGAGCCTGACCTGACTCCTGGGAGAAGCTGTTTTCGAAGAGGAGTTTCATATGTTTGGATTTTGAAGTTCATGGAGTCGAGTGCTAAATACGAATGTGTGCTAACCACTCTGCTGAGTAGTGGAATTACAGTTCAAACCAGGCGATACAAACAGCCCACTGCCTGGCAAAAACTATATTGCAGCTACTGGCCTCAAGCTTGCAACTACAGTCTAGAAAGGCCGGTCACCCCTCAAAACACTATAATTCAAATTGACTAAAGAGCCACAAATATTATTAACTGTTATGTGGCAGCAATTTTGTGTTCAGCAGACTAAGATAAGTTACTTTGTTTTGGATATAGATTTTTCATTGAAGTATAAAGGGAGAATTTCACGTCAGCTTATGGTCAACCTGAGCAACCAGATGTGAGCTAAGTTTGACACCTCATCCAAAAGAACAGTCCACTTAACAATGTAGCAGTGACAGACCAAATTAGAGCATGGACCCAAACTCCTCATTTGGAACTTGATAAATAGTTGCGTGACCGGCTCAACGCTGATTATCGAATTAGTCCCTTCCATGACTTACCTAAAAATCATTTACTTGTATAAAACAAGTCTTACTTCCCCTTTTCTAAAAGCGTTGCATGTCATTGTTGGCACCATTGCTTAACACCATCCTGTCAGAAGATACTCACAAAATATCTGATCATGGAGGACAACACAACTGCTATTTCTAAGTTCACAGCAAGCTCACGGGCTGGCTGTTTTCGCAGGAATCCTAGTGTCCAAGGGCGCAATGGGCAATTGTAATGACACACATTCATCTGTGTTTGGAAACTCAAATTCCATTTCCTAATGTAGACCTTTGAAACCTCCAAACTCAACATTTTATTGCCAAGCTGGGCAACCCTCCTGTCTTTGATCCTCTGTAAACCTGCGCACTCAAAACACTGCTGCCTATATCATCTCTTACACCATGTGAACCTTGCCCATTACTCCCATCCTGCCTGCCACATACCATAGACACGGACAGAAAACTTTTCAGCTTCAACTGGTTGAAATCAAGGAAGAAAATGACACAGACCTGGCCTGTGGAACTTCAGTACACGGATGACAATATCATCTTTGCTCTTTCAGAAGGAAATCTTCGAGGCTCACTTAACACCTTCGTGGAAGCATATCGAAGGACTGATCTCAGCCTCCACCTCCAGAAGATCAAATCCTTTACCAACCTATCCCAGGGCAAGTTCTGGTCTATACCTCCATTAAGATCAACAGAGAAATCCTCTCAAAGGTGGAACATTTCCACTCACGGAAGTTACCTCTCATCTAAGGCTAACATCAATGCAGAGATCCAAAACCGCACGACAATTTAGAATTCTTATCCTTGTGTTTCAACTCACTCAAAGCCACAGTCCATCCTAGCTCTGTAATCTCCTTCTGCACAATTTTCCTCTTCCATTGACTACTGCCAGTCCCACCTCAAATCCCGTGATCCCTATATTTCGAAACTCCCTTCTTAAACTAAACATGTAGACATCTCTCCTTCTGTAAGAGCCTCTTTTAAACCCATCTCTTTAACCAAGCCTTTCGTTGTTCCTCCTCATTTCTTTGTCTCCCCACCCATCATTTGGTTGCCTCAGCAGTGCTCTGCGACATTTCCTAATGTTAGAGGCATTCTACAAATGCAAGTTCTTGATCTAAATTCTGACTATGATAAATCAAAACAGAAAATGCTGGAGAAACTCGGCAGATCTGGCAGAGTTGACGTTTCCAATCCATTTCAGATTTCCAGCCTCTGCATTATTTTGCTTTTAATAGGGATTCCTCTTGGTAGCTTTGGGAATTCACAGTCTCTGCTGTGAGTATGCAGTGAGCAATTTAAATCTCTCTTTTTGTTACATAATATTCTGAGGTTCTCGTCAATAGTATTTTGGTGATCATCTGTTTTATCTTTGCAAAACATGGTCTGATGGCCTGAGAGGAGTAATTCCTCATGCATATTTTAAACAATTCTAAAAGCCACTTATTTGTGGGGTGGGGACAGGGAAGAATGTTTACAAAGTGTGGAATACAGTTCACAGTGCAGAGAAAGAAATCTGGACAATCCTGAAAACCTGTGCAAGTTTTTTTTTTGCAAAATTAATTAGAGATTCAAATCCCATCCCCCTGCCCCCAAAAAAAAACAGCATTCCTGTATCCTCACTGTCTGGTTATACCCTACAGAAGGTTACAAGAATCTCCAAAAATACATACAGTATCATTATATATATTTAGCATGTTTTATAATTATACCATACATTTTCATTTGATTACGTCTTACAAAGCCAACTCAGCAGTCAGTGTGGAGGAGGCAACGCGAGAAAAGAAGGCTCTGTCTTGGCTCTGGGTACAGGCTTGAGAACCTTGACTGCAGCAGTAGCAGCAGCTGGTGTTTGTGGCTCTGGTGTTGGCTTCGAGTGAAATTGTTTGGCACAGAGGAATTGCGATAACAACTGGGCTTTTCCCCTGTAGAAGCTGAGGGGAAACGTACTCTGTATACGTGATTCCTGTAAAAGCAGCTAATGTGCAACCA